GTCACTACAATACCAAATTCTACTTATAAAACTTATTTTCAACCTTACTACTAACACCTTTTCCCCCTTACTAACACCCAGTAGCAGTATATAAATTTTGGACTCAAAAAAAAAAAAAAAAAAAAAAAACTAGCAAATTTTGGTGCTTACACCGTGTACTAAAAGTATTGGGTTGAGTTATTTGTTTATAGAGATGCCCAATGTTACTTGCTTTATTCAAGGATAAGACAAGTATCGCAGCGGCTACGGGCTATTAAAGAGCATTTGAAAATAACGCCATAGTGGTGTTTCATGTACATGTAAAAGAAGGTGAGTAAGCACAATGATAGAGACAGTGACTGATGCAGAAAGGAAAACGTGTACAAAAAAGGCATCAGCCTTTCTTAATTATCGAATACACTTTTGTATCTTGCAACTTTTGCTGTGAGAAAGTAAAAAGTCAAATGTGTAAACAACTTTACAATCTCAAAATATAAAATGAACGGATAGGTCTACTGTCTTTATGGCAATAGCAAGAGTATTTTTGCAGGTAATCACTTTTCTGATTGCAACTGATAAGTACTCATTTTATGTGATGTAATTATTCTTATTAATGATCCTTTTTGTAGCAGCAGTAATCGTTCAAAGAAAATAACCATTGTTTATTAAACGTTATTAGAGAGTACATCGTCTATGACTATAGCTATACCAGCGCTATATACATTGTGTCACTGTGATTACAATCTCTTTACTTGGAGTTTCAGTCACATCTAGTGATTTACTGATTAATGTCCTGGCATCTTTTCGGAAACAGGGTGAGGAGAGTGATTAGGTGGATATTGAGGAGGAAGCTGAGGAGCATACTGAGGAACAGGTGCTGCCTGAGCGACATACATCGGTTGAGGATGTTGAGGACCAGGATAGGCTTGATTAGGATTATATTTTGGTTTTTGCAGCTCAATTATTAATCTATCATTAGCTAATTTTCGCTTATTATACTTTGGAACAATACAGATCAGGCCAAACACGCCACAGCAGCAACACCAGAGGAGATCATCAACACCACACTCATTGTCTTGTATCTCTTTTTCTAATTCAGCAACAAGCTTTTCATCTCTGTATTCCGTCATTTTTGTTCCTTTAAAAACTATCTTGAACAAAAAGAAAAAGAGAATTACAGATTCTATTTATACTACTGTTAGTCTTTTCTATCTGTGAGGCTCATGTATCACAAGTATATTTGCAACTGCGCATTACCCGGTACGAAGTTTATATTCTACTCCTATAATGAGGCGCAGCGGAATAGCTAAACTATACAAAAAATATGATCATTCAAGGAAAAAAGACATGTACAATGCAAAGTCTTCATATTTTAAATAACAACATTGATTCAACCTGCTTCTTAAAAGACAGTGGATTATTGTATATATCCAGTGGTTGTACTGTGGCAAATGAGATGTGGCACTTGTAGTTCAGTAATGTAACACAGCAGACTATTCGGAAGAACAGTGTCTTTCATATGATGGATCAAGAACAGCTTTAACAAAGCAATAGCATAATTTTCAATACCAAGTGCTTTTATACTTGATGCAACTATAATATGACGCTGATATATGTGATTTTCTTTTATAATTTCATCCTTGATCTGACGAAAAGCGCGTACTATCATGAATACAAGTTGGATATTCAGAAGTTTCTTTTAAACAAAGTAACCAAGCTTAGTAGCACAAAACGTGTATTTTCAACTAAAAAAGCTCTCTTATGAGTATTTAATAAGCTAGGCAATACAAGCGTAGATCTAAACACACTATTCAACATACATATCTTCACTTAAATATTAAAAAAAGGGTTTATATTAAGTATTAGTTTATACGTAACTACTGTTGACAATTTCTAAAAGATTAACAATTTGTGTATACCACCTATACATCTATACATATATATATATATACCCATTAACTACGAATGCTCTGCTTAGAGGAGTTCTCCTGGTGATATTGTATGGCAACTGAATCGCGCAGATGGTGTGGGAACATGGGGCTTCTAGGAGTTGACTGTGTACTATCACTCGTATAATGAGAGCTTGCTCGATTGGCAGCATTCTTCACAGCCAAATGAAGAGAAGAAGTCGAACTGTCACGCCACTTGTTTCCCTTGTAGTCCATGGTATCATTAAATCCAACCCATTGCACTGACGAGACTGATTTGCCTCCAAGTGACTGTCTAGAATGATTGCTGTACATCATACCTGGATAATTACCATCGGATGTGGTTGGTGCGCGTGCTTGCAAAAGCCGTGATCCTCTCAGCTGGAAAATTCCTGATTGACCTCGTTTATCGCCCAATGTCTGATTTGCATCTGTATCGGGATGGAGTGAGCTACTGTTTGAAAACAGATTGAGTGTCAATCGTTTGAATCCACTTGTGCCCATATCTAGCTTTTTATTGGATGATTCAGGACTCTTGTCTAAACTTGTCTTGTCCTGTTCCATTCGTTGACGACTAAGGTTGGATGACTGTGCAGATTGTCTGCGGTAATAGTCTTCTGTAGAAAATTTAAACTCTGCACCAAGAGAAATCGCACTGATTCGTGTATTGTTGCTATTCGTGACAGCCAATTCAGGTAAACTGAGAAAGGGTACCGGCTTTCTCTCATCATCAAATACCATTGAGTTTGTCATTTGTATCTTTTCTCCATAAGCTAATTGCTGTAATGAGACATTATTTGGTGATTGGCTGAACCTTGCTGCCCTGGATTCGGAGTGAACATGACGTTGTTGCTTGTGCCTTCTCCAGATGAAAAATCCAATGCCAGCGGCTACTATTACAATAACACAAACGATAATCCCACCAATGGCTCCGCCACTGATCCCTTGAGCGCCATTTGATGCAGAATCTTGTACGTCACGTTGGTACAGGAGCACTGGCTTTCCCTTTGTAATCCATTGTTTACTTGTTGTATTAAAGTAAATAGGTTCATTAACCATGGACTCTGGACCATCTTGTCCACCATAATAGAGAATCAAATCATCTATTAATACACCTACATGTCCTGATCTGCCTTTATGACTATGCTCCAACTTTGTCCAGGTCATCTGAAATGGCGCACGTATATCTAGCTGCCATAGATCATCTAGTATATCTCGTTCATTTTCGCCACCAAATAAAACATGCGTGGATTGATTAGGGAGCGTGACGACACTTGCATAACTGCGTGCAGTAGGCCATTCCTCAACTGGACTATGGCTGCTCACGACGGTGGATTGAAAAGTGTCTGTGTCAAACCAGATGCAGCGATTAGACATCGTTAGTTCTCCTTGTTGTCCAAAGCATGAAATAATCCAGTGCTCGTATGAGATCGAGACATGACCAGCAGCTTGCGTGTGGACTGGAAGCTGAGTCCAGGTTTTGTTTGAAAGGAAATAGACCCAATTGGCGTCATGCGCTGGTTGGTGCGTCTTGGCAGATAGACCTCCAATTACATAGAGTCGATCATCCATCAGGGTCGAGGTATGTTTGTACCTGTGTGATGGAGACAATTGATAACGGTTGGTCTGATTGGATGAAGACAGAGCTATCCTTGGTGTATCCTTGTATGATGGATGAAGGCCGAGTACTGTGATGATTGAATGATTTAGTAAGTGAGATGTATGTCCAATAGAAGGTAAAAGGAAATGATGTTCAATATCTGATGCAGCCAGGTGGAGAGAATAATCTGTCTTTTCGAAATGCAGGGTGAGTAGATTTGAGGCATATTCAGAGTGGAAGTTGCTTGTGCTTTCGGTTCCGCCAAGAATATAGATTAAACCAGTTGAAGAATAATGCGCTGTCGAATATTTTCGTCCCTTAATCATTGCTGCATATATAAATGTAAAATGTAGAAGGTATAAAAGAATGAATATTAATTGTTTATAATACTTCATGTATTATGTCAATATAAACAATAGTTTCTGCAGATCCTTGCTTGAGTTATTAAAATACAGCTATTTTTACTACTTTTTAACGGTTTAAAAAAATACTGAGGTATATAAACTGGGGAAAAGAAAAAGAGAGTAAAAATAACCTGTTCATCATGAAGGTGATTTCGGCTGTATAAAGCACACACTTGTCCATGCGGGCAGCTTCCTAATTTTTCGATCCGTGTAACAATAAGCTTTCTTAGAATATGTTTTCTAATGTTATTAATTCTCATCAAAATGCAGTTTAAATCATAAGAGATATATTACAAAAAAGGAGAGGAAGAGAACAGTTACGTTCACGTCACGCTTTACTATATTTACTCTCCCTCCTCCTGCATATTATATGATGGCCCGGTTTATCTGTTTATATAAGCAAACCAAGGGAAGTATTTGGATATTATCGATCGTTTTAAGCAGGTTAAATTACACTCCTTCCTTTTATAATCTTATTTTTTAAGTATAAAAGAATCATTTATTTTGACCTTTTCTTTTTATTTACGATATGCTGGTTCAAAGCTCTGCTAGTTATCAAACCATCAATTTAAGTTCCATAGATCACGAAAGAACGCCATTATTAACGTCAAGAAAAGGTAAATTAAAGAGTAGACAAAGAAAGGAAGATTGCCAACCATACCATAGAAAATACTTGGGAACAATTAAAGAAGAGTCAATGGGTTTCCTTGGTTCCATCTATTGTACTTGGTCTAATCATCTGGTTTGGAGTGAAGCCTAATCAAGAGCTTACTGTTACAGCTATTCATTTGCTGGCGGTGTTTGTAAGGTAACAAAGAAAATCATAAAATAAAGGAAAAAAAAAACTCATGTGTTTGGAAAAAAGCTGCATATTTGCCTTGATTACTACATCTGTGGATATATCTATGCTTGTTCTGACAGGGTTAACTATTTTGGCAGCATCTCATTCTTTTGTATGTCTGGACCATGCCACAGGCTTTGATACCGAATGCAGACTGTGTGGAGAAGTCAATCCTTTGACGGGTCACACAATTCAATGCAACGCGGAAAAGGATTCATTTAAGCAATCACTCGAGGGGTTTTCAAGCTCTGTCGTTTGGCTCATCTTTGCTGCTTTCCATCTTGGTAAAGCAGTTGAAGTAACCCAGTTAGGTCGCCGTATCTCGTTATTGATGATTAGAACGTTTGGAAAGCATATCTTGGGCCTTGCATATGCCATCTTACTGTCAGGTAATAAAAGTTCCTTAATTCATATCCCATATTGACGTAATGTGTTCTCCTCAATCTAGAACTATTTCTTGGCCCTTTTGTTCCTAGCAATACAGCTCGTGGTGGAGGCATCGTCTTGCCTGTCGTACAATCTATTGCCACGTCGCTAAACTCCACTCCCAAGCTCAACCCAGAAATAGGTCAGTATCTCATCTTGATTGGAAATCATGCCAATCTGCTATCAGCGTCCATGTATTTGACTGGTAAATTCTAAATGTTGACTTACGTTTGTCAAGCACTTACTCCTTTCTTCCTGAAGGAATGGCTGCAAATCCTGTGGTTATAGCGAAAGCCAGCCAATTATTTCCACACTTGAGCTTTGATTTCCTGACTTGGTTTAGGGGTAGCATTGTGCCTTCTGCTACTTGTGCTATTTTTTTGCCTCTTTTACTAAAATGGTCCCTAAGTATAGATAAACTGGGAAATAAAACCGAGGCAGAAAATGGTGACGCTGTCGTAAAGCACGCACAGCTCGAGCTAGACAAGATGGGATCTGTGTCCAAGAAAGAATGGGTAAGTACTTTGCTCCTTAATTATTACTCTTTAACACTGGTTTAAATTAGCAACTTTGCTTTGTTCTGCTTTCGTGTCTTTGTATGTGGGTTACTACAAGTATAACACATCTTGATTCCACTCTGGTTGCCTTAATCGGCATCGTTGCTCTCTTGCACATGGGCACAATCTCATGGAAAGATGTGTCGACAAACACGAGTGCCGTAAGTTCAATTTACACTCCTATGTTTGAAGCTAATTTACCCTGTAATCTTATAGTGGGATACATTATTCTGGCTTGGAGGATTTATTACCATTGCTCAACAATTATCCGAGGCTGGTGCCTCTGCCTTCTTGGGCCATCAAATCTCCAATACGATAAAGAGATTCAATTTCCCTTCGGTTCCTAGTTTAGCCATCTCCTACTTTTTGACTACCTTCATGTTCTCCTCCCTGAGCGCGCATATTGTTGCATTTGCCGGTACTTTCTTTGATGCAGGTCATATGCTAGGCGCTAATCCCATGATTTTGACTGCAATGATTGCCTATTTTGGTTCTCTTTCTGGTTGTATGACAAACTTTTCCACAGGTACAGAAAAGACCCGATATTTATACAAATGAATGAGCATCTAACTCGTCTTTATTTATTTATCAAAGGCATGGCTGCAATGTATTATGCTACAGGTTATGTATCTCGCCCCAAGTGGTTTATGATCGGTTTTCAGGTAGCTATTTTCTATCTCTTTGTATACTTTACAGTTGGAGTATCTTGGTGGAAGTTCTTGGGATGGATCTAATGACAACGTGTATCCGTTGTGTAACGTAGCATGTGTTTATGTACCATTTATTATTTTTATAAAGTTTTCTAATTCATCTTTACTCTAATTAACAAGCATACTTGTACTTTATTATTATATATTAGTTGTAAATAGTGGGTATTAGCAAATGTAGTAAACAGTAATAGGGAAAAGACTAAAGATTTCAGGCAATCCAGTCTTTAGTAGCAGCTTTGAATACATGTTGACCCATTAGCTTTGCAACTAACTCCCCCATTGCCTCCTGTTCAGCAATAACCTCTATAATACCAGCAGCATATGCCTGCCAGTAAACTTGATCCTCAGTACTTTCTTCATTTGCTTTTACCTGTTGATCATCATCACTCTTCAGCCTATAATGATTGTGCCACAAGATACTCTGACGCTTACTTAACAATCTTCTAGCAATCTCGGCTGAAGGAAGTGAAGCAGGAAGTGATGATTTTGTACGTAGAGAACATGCGAGTGTATAAAGGTATAAATGTACTGCTGCAGCAAGTTCACGTCTATAAGGATTCATCGGGTTCATGATGCTCTTTCTCACTTGAGTTCTGATAAAAGTTTGTGTTTCTAGTAAATGGCCGATCCAAAACAAAATATGCTTCTCGTGTTCCAGAATGTCTCTGTAGATCCCGATCGGGAAGGGTCCCTTGGTCAACCTTGGCTCCATCTGCGCTAACCCAAGCATTTGACAAGTCAGTTGATGTTGCTTGCGTAGGATTTTGGCATTGTACTGTACATCACGAAGAGTTGACTTGTACAGATGTGATTGCGTATTTTCTTGGCAGACAAGAGATGCTACCTTGGAATATTGAATACCTGTGGCTATCAGTAAATCAGATAGATGCTTGCGAACCATCTTGCGTGCCCAGACTGGCCATAGAAACTGATCTATGATAATAACAAGAATAATGGCAAAAATGGAAGTGATAGTGCGTTTCCAAACAGGTGCAAACAAGTCTTCGTTGTATCTATTGCTATATCCAGTAGAGACGATAACGGCCATGGTAAGTAGTGAGATAAAGCCAATTCTGGGATACTTTGATCCTAGCAGCATGTACCACATCGGAATCTGGAATATTAACACCAAGACCGCGATAACATAAGGATTCTCATCTCGATTGCCCGCTAGCAGGCATATGTACCCGGCAACAGCACCAACAATGGTTGCAAGGACACGGAAAAGGCATTGTAGCGCGGTAGATCCGACGGTAAAGTTAAACACGACCATTGCAGACAAAAGTCCCCACTGCCCATGGTTATTCTACAGACAAAAAAAAATAAGCAAAAGCTAAACAATATAAACAAGACGTACATTATAAAGGTCATTTGCGCCTTGTATTGGCAGCCATGCCATTAACGCCAAAAGCTCCATAGTGATTGTAAACTTGATAGCGAATCGCACAGGATCTGTTCGAAGCCAATTGTTTAATATTTGTAAATACCTACTCCAAAAGTGCGTTCCTGGTGTGTTCTGAAGTGGTATTAGGACATTGTCTTGATCATCAACCCAATCGCTTTCTATAGACATCCTATTCTCTATGGGCCCATTTGGCTTATATATTGGCTTTTCTCTATTTCCTTCCGTTTGGTTTGACGAAGATGCTTGATTTCTCCTTGTTTCTTCTCTTTGTAACAGGTGTTGTTGGTCAAACAGAACCTGTTCTGTAGCTGTTCTTTCTCCCTTTGCGCTCTCACCAGCTTCTTCGAGCCATTTACTTAAAGGCACACGCGGAAAAAAGATGTGTGGACGTTTTCCTGTCTTTCTTTTAATCAAGTTGTTTGCTTGTTCTTCTAATTCAATCAACTTATTTCCAAACTGTGTGAGAGTAAATAGGATTGTGTAAATCATGAAATGATCCTCAACTGGCACTGCACTACGCTGTTGGTACTCGTTTTCCAAGGTAATCTTTGCTTCCTGTAGGCTCCTCATAGCCTCTGCCATATCAAGATGTTCCTCTGACTTTTCACAACCCTGCTTTTTTTTGGGTATAGCCTTATTTGTCTCAAGACGATACTGAATACATTGTATAACAGATATGCAAATCTTGATAAACCTTCGGACATTTGGTTGAACAGAGTGCTGAAGTCTGGAAATAAGTTTATATTCTATTTCTAATACTGTGGATCCCTTTGTGTAATAATTTGGCGCACCCCGACTATTGACCGTGAAAAGTTCTTCCATATCTATCGCCACACTATCATCATCATGACTATGCACTCCCTTTTGTTGATCCAGACGTTGTTGAAGTATAATCTGTCCCTCGCGTTCGATCGTCAGTGCAAAACCATACAAATATCGTGAGAGGCTGTCCAAGGTGGTAGCAAATGATTTGTACCACGTCGGTCGGTAATACGACACGACAATTTCATACTTCGCCTCCTTTCTTGCAGTTTGTGTCTTTGAGATGTCTGCATCTAGCTTTTGGATCAACTGGCTGAGTTGTTTGGAAGCAGCCGTATCACTAAACACTTCATCGTTATCCTTTAGTACATCCCTTTCTATAAATTCCAAAACTGTTTGTATCGAAGCCAATGCATTTGCAAAAGATGTTCTAAAGTACACGTTTGATTTACTTGTGAAAAAGAAAAAGAAACTTATGGACTTACTCGGATACTTTAGCTGCTGTTTCTGGCCAAAGCAGTAAATTAACAAGCAGAGCAATGGCTCCTCCAATCAGGGTCGGATAGAAAATACCGACGATAGACATGACATTAAACTGCGTATTATAAATGCCCTTGGTAAGTCCAAAGAAAGCAATGGTGAATCCTTGCAGGCCGGGAATAAACAGACGTGGGTATTTTAGCCGATAATAGGCAGTAAAGAAGACGGAGATAAAGAAGGCAATAGCCGCGATAATTCCTGCACCATTAGAATAAAGACCGTTCATATGGCTGTTGTATAAAGTACATAGGTAGCTAACGACAGCACACCAAATGGATGGTATTATCATCATGGCAACATTCAACAACATTTCAACAATCTGATTACCAGCTGTTCCACTTGCATTGAAGAATAAAGTGCCGAGAGTGATAAGATAGGGCACTACGCCCACGTTGGCTTCGACCTTTGGTATCAAAATGAGAATAGTAGCAATCTCATAAGCAACTGTACACTTTATGATCTTCTTCCATAAAACGTAGTCTGTTTTTATGAACTTGACCAAATGCATAAAGTAAGAAAGAAAGAAGAAAATCAGAACAGTAGATGACACTTTTTATATCTGAGATTATTCTTTTTTTGGTAATCAGTTTCTCTTTTATTATCATTTTTCTTCGTCACTGCCATCTTCGGTCTTTAATTTTTTGACGGAAGGGCCTGGTGACCTTGAATCCTCACGAGCTTCAACAGCCTCCAGTCGTCTTTTGAGGTAACTGTTTTCAGATCTTGTTGATTCGAGTTCATTCTTTAAGCTCTGTGATTCTTGTGATAATTTTTCCATCTGCTCTTTTACGGTGGCCAATTGCTGCTTCAGATGAGTGATGGCCTGTTCTGATAAGAGCTTCTCAAGTGATGCCTTTTCCATTAATGACACTTGTTCATCCTTTAGCTGTTTGATGTAGGTTGCGGCTCTAGTAAGGATTGATCCTTTATTCTTCTCACAGCCTGGCACAATACGTGCAATCTCATTGATCCCTTCATTAATCGCCTCACGCCGCTTACGTTCTACCAATTTGTGACTCTCACGACGCCTACGATGCCACTCTTCAGTACCAACAGCCGGTCGTGTATCTTCAATGTTTGTTGTTGTTGTTGTTGTCGCTGTTGCTGTTGAGGTCTGTGTTGATATAGAAAAAGATGCTGGCTGTGATTGAACAGAGGATATGGTCTCTGCCGTATGGGTATTATCCGTGATATGTTCATTATTTCTCTGATTTTCCGTTTCCTCCTCTTCTATACCAGCAGTACCAAGCTGAATAGATTCATGAAGCGCCTTTAAGTCAGCGGATTGCTGAGGTGTCATCGTCCTGTTTTATATTCAGATTTTTTCTGTTGCATAAACAGTATTAAAAAATGCTTACCATATTTCTGAATCTTTATAGTCACTCTTTTCACTCCCTTCTGAGTTGTCTTCTTCAATGACAATTTCAGTCACCATATTTTTGTCCTGTCCATCCTTGTCAACATGATGCATATGTTTCCTCTTTTTTTTATTGTACCTGGGTTGGATCGTTTTGTTTAGAGTTGTCAGGCTGAGGTTCCTCTTTTGTTTTTTCTAATTAGCAAATTAATTAGAAAGAAATAAAGATGCTATTGAGTTTGTGCTTTACTTTCTTTTTTATTTGCCATTGAGAAAAATATAAAAGGAAAAAGGGAACAGATTAGTGTGAGGAAATAATAGCAGAAGCAGAGTTGCTTCAACAGCGGTCACGTGATGACGTAAATGACCAAATTTCATGCCCTTATTTTGCCCCCTTTCTGAACTTTAAATTCTTGAAGTGGCCATTTATTCTTGACATTGTGATCATTAATTCTCCTTTAATTCTTTGGCTTTTTCTTCCACTATTCCCCTTTTGTTAAAGAATAGTAATCATGTCTGAGAGCTTTGTTTTAGAACAATACACACGCTTTCCTAGAGAAATTATTGTTGATATTAACTCTTGGAAAAATCTCATTGAAAATTCACCTGCTCACCATGCAGTATGTTGGATTTGTAAGGAAAAGACGAATGGTGATATATCTACTTTAAATGAAGGAGGCCAACTTATGCCAAAACGTGTAACAAGAAGAAGCATCATTTGGAAAATTAAGTACATATGCCATAGACCTGGGACCAATAAGGGTCGTGCTGATGTACAGACAGAAAATGAATCATCTAAAAATCGGCCAATTCAGAAATCAAGCAAGTAGATTGATAGCAGATGCTATGTTACTGCCACCTGTTATTTTCTAGCACCTAATCAGGTCACTATTAAGCTTTATAATGAGCATAGTCATCTTATTGGAAGCCTTGATGATATCTCTTTTTTTACCTTTATCGGACAATACGAAGGAGGCTATATTGCAAAAGTTACGTGAAAGCTACGGTAGAAGAGATATAAAAGCTGCAATTCAACGTCATTTTAATGAAAGGATAAAAGATCTTTTTTCTGAAGCTGCTTGTTCTTCAACACATTCAGGCGTTTGAGGTATATAAGCAGAGATTACTATGATAGACTGTATAAGTAAGTATATTACGAGTAAGATATATAATATGTTGCACTTTAAACTCTTTATATCTTGAAGTACATACAGTCTCACAAGATTTAAACTAGTTGTTTTTCATAGCAGTCGCTTACAGCTTTGAAAAAAAAAAAAATAGATTTAAAACCATTGCTTAACGTCTCCACCCACGCTTTCATGATTATTCTCCTCAGCACGGAAAGTTAGACTCCCTTCAAGATGTTGTGACAATAGAAATAGTGCTGTGTTTGTTTGCTTTTTTTTTTTTCTAAAGATCTCTTGTATTTCTAAATTAGGTTTTTCTCCGGTCTTCTTTTTGTCACCGTTTTTCTGTTGTATTACAAACGTAGTATTTTTTTGAAAATATATTTGATACGTTTTCTATGCTTGACTTTGCTTAACTGGAGAAGGGATTCTGTTCAATTTTCGTTTGAGTGTCGCCCTATTGTTTCAAGAGGCAACTATATCACCATGGATTGGATGAAGTCGTTGATATCATGGTGTGCACTCCCTTGAATCAAGCGGATATAGCAAGCTTAAGAATATTTACTCTTGAGTATATGCTTTTAGAAACGTTTTTTATATGAAATGCTACTGCACTTACTTTACGTTCTCTTTTTATATACAAACTGCTTGCAGAATAAGTTCTACTGCATTTGATTAACCCTATTCTTTTGAACAAAGAGATTGTCAGTAGTACAAAATTTTGCTGTGTCACTATAAAGTATAGTAAGCTCCTTAAAAAAGAACAAAAAAATACAATAATGAGAACCTAAAAGACAAAGAATATATAGAAGTCAGTATCTACACGAAATGAATTACTTTTTTTAAGCTTAAAGTTTTATTCAATAAGTAATTCAATAGTAGTGGTTAACTTATATAATAAAAATGCTTGGTGATGTGCGACAACTCACCAGAAAATGCAAACTAAACTCGCTTCTCCATCCGTCGTTTAAGCAAAATCGGGTAAGTTTGGATTCAATATAAATATAAAATGGTATTTATATATTAAGCATTTCAAATGTAGCAAGTGATATGAACAGCTGCTAAGGAATACTCTATCCTTCGGCATGATGCCCTCAATCTTGCACTATATTCTGTCTGCTTTTGGGCTGAGGGTGGTTATAAAGAAAATGAATCGTACCCAAGAGCTATGTAGCCGACTTTTGGTATCACTGCTACAGATCCGTGACATTAGGTGAAGGACATGCATCTCGAACTGTAATATTACCTATATCTCTTTTTATATGGATACCTATCTAAATTCTGTTTGGATAGGGCTTCAACAATTGCGTCAGGCACCAATTTGCCCAATTTGACATGACAAGAAGAAATCCAGGAAATGGTAATGATTGTTATGGGAAGATCTATCGCACATGATTAGCACAGGATTTATCAAAAGGTGAATATTTGTATAACATTCCTGAACTTGATAGAATTTATGAATGCCTCGCTACCGCATTTACAGCAGATGTTATTGCCAGTAAGTAAATTTTGATAACAAGTATATTAAATGTGTATATGCAAACGACCCTTTAACTTCTTGATTATTCATGCAAAGATGTTGAACTACATCTAACCAGAAATATAAAACGAAATATATACGCCGTTTTCAAAGGGTTTTTTATTACTTATCAATCAAGATATCTACCAATCCTTAACATTAAAAATATGGGTAAACGCATAATGCTACTTCAAGTACACTAGGTAATATATCATCAGTATCACTAACTGATTGAATAATATTGCGAATAATATAGCACATAATGCTATCAATTCAGTATTGAGTAGGCAGCCGACCTTATCGACTAATACAGCGTTTCTTCCATTTGTTGCAGACTTTTACAAGTATAGTATTGCCTATTTGTTGTTTTCGCAAATGTTGCCAATTAACAAACTACCAACTAGGCAAATTGCTACAATATTTTATACCGCTTTCGGTGATCTTCCTTTTGAAGTTATTTCCTCCTTTGAATTTGCGGAATATAATGCCCACAATTTGATGTTTTTCAGCTCCATGCTGTTAGAGACCGCGACTAACTTTATTTTGATGCCTTTTGAATTTAAAGGTTGGACGATTTTATTGATTGCTTGACATGGTATAGGTATGACAAGTTTTTGCGACGACAAACGCATAGGGCGAATCCGTAGTATATGTATCAACTGTGTGCATAGTTTATGCGCCACCTTCCGGTGAAAAGATCAAGTATGCTTTATTGAGCAGATGTGCTGCTGCTGGTTTGCCAGTTCCAGGTTTTTTAAATATAATTGTATACAACCATATCACAAATCAGGTAATATGGCTTTATTGAGTATTATACTTGTAATCAATATCAAACTTTAGTAATCAATTTATTAGAATATAACAAACCTAATGTATCCGCAACAATTTTATGGCTGTTATGGCAATGAGAGCAAAGAGCGCATATGGGAGATGCTTTTTGATATTGACCATCTTCAGAAAAATAAATAACGTATGCAAAATTTTGAAAAGATTTTTATTTTATTGCTTTAATAGGATGTTCGCTTAATTAAATATGATAAATAACATATAGCGCAAACTAATCTCGAAAAAAATAAAATAGTCCTGGACTATGGTATATATTGAGACGGTCATATGGTATCAGTTTTGTTTTCGTCAGTAACTCCAGGCACACCACTGCAGATACGTTTGCAATTACACACTAACTTTTTCGTTAACTACTTCCATATACGCTTTTTAGAATTATTACCGGACAATAAGCAAGACGAAAAAGTGGCTAAAAGAAAAATGAATATTTCTGACTGGTGAAGAAGAACTTACCGTCTAAATAAAGAGCCTTATGGGTTCTTGTATACTGATATGCTATTGGAGTTGATCCGGGTACACATATTAATATTGGGAAATAAATAATAGGGAGAAATACAGAGCTAATGGGTATTATTTGCACTGATAGAGTTCCGTGATCTCGTTACTGCTGTGGACACTTCAGACCAATATATTTTCAATAGATCCAGTACAAAAGAACATACGTTTTCCGTATCTAATGGCGATTACAAGTATATATACATATGTGCCACAACAATAATATGGATTTTTAGGGTTCGTTCTGGATTTTCTTGGTATAATAAAAAAAAATTGATCAAAAGAAAACAATACGGTAATGGTGACATTCAACCCTTTTACAATTTAATACCTAGTCCAAATGTCACAGATTGTAGATCAATCTTAGTATATATTGGAATAATCTCCATCTTACACAACCAGTATGTTATTTTCCCTTTTTGGTTAGTAAACTTGATTAACACTAACAACATTATTTTGGACATACCATGTATAGTGTATTTAACTTCATGAGAGCCTTTCATCATCGCGAGCTTAAAGATTATACATACGGCAATCGAAAACAATCTTTGGATAACATAACCAATGTAATGACTGGTAAAAAAAATACATCATGAGCCTTTCAAGCTATGCCATGCGAGTTCAAAAAAAGAAAGATGTAGATTGAAGCAACAGAATCGCAGGACCGCCGGATTTCAGCCCATTTCTTCCACAAACAGGCATATTTTTGCTTATGGTGATGATAGCTTACCATCTTCAAAGAAATGCTTCACACCAAGTCCTTCCAAGGTAACTTTAGATAGAATACAAGTTACGGTTATAAAAAGCAGACCATACTAAGCATACAGTAACAGAAATTGCGCCGCCATCTTTCGAAGAAAGCTGTTATTATCCTAGTTGATAAGTACAAGCCGTCTAAAAGCTGTAGCTACTGTCAAATAAAGCTAGACTCTATATCAGTACCAGAACGCGGTTATAATTATAGTGCTGATTTTACGTTAATAATATATAACCTTTTGTTTTTGCTTTTTTTTGAGTATTTACCGTCTTATATGATTTTATTCTAGAACAAAGAAGCGGCTCTCTTATGAAAAGAATGCAAGCAGAAAATGCCTTGATGAAGTAAATGGTCATGAACAAGTCTTATGTCAGTTCAGCGCGTGCCAAGCTAAAACCCAAACAGGTAACAATATAATAGCTCATTCATACTTCTTTTATGCGTCTACAACGAACATGTCACTAAATATATAAATAGCCTTTACACCCATCATCTACCCGTTAAAACTTTGTAGACAATGTCTATCTGGTAATGGTGGTAGTAGTTTGGTAAGCCTTTTTTAAAACTTACTCGTCGTATGTCACTAGTTAATTTTTGCGCAAAGGTTTGGAGTACTCTGATTAGTTGACTTTTGGACCCGAAATCTCCAAAGCTGATACATCAATGCTTAGCTTGAGGTTTCTGAAGATCATATCGACCTTTGGTCCTTTAGATTCTACTGTTGCAAAAGAAATAGAGACTGATTTGACGATGCTGGCGGTGTTGAACGTGAAAGAAATAGTCAAGAATTGCTTGTCAACTTTTTCGTAATTTATGCATCCTCATGCATTAGTTCAGTTTCCGAATTTTGCCAAAGTCGGCTTATGGTACCTGAACCTACTCATTTCTTTCGAAAGTAATCTCATTACGTTGGTAGCCCAAATTGCAGCAAAATCAACCATATCATCCTTTGACAGTAGTGTAAGCCCATGTAGAATTACTCGTTTTATTATATTTTTTGGAGCGCAATGACTACCTGTTATTAAACTTACCTGATAACAGTAATAAACAAAAAGCCTTTTCTTCCCGTTATTTTTTTTTTGTTTATGAATTTTTTTATTTGAGTTAATCTCACGACTAAGCAGTTAATATAAAGAACTAGTGATACATACGATCCTGCAATCCATCACGGCCAAAGCCTCTGTATTGATCAACAACTAACCTACAAACTACTCTTCGAGCAACCCAGCAAATTAAATCCAGTGCACTATCGCCTCCGTTGCCACACGACCAACGAAGTTTGCCTTATTACTCTGTATGGTTGCATTCTTACAACCGTCTGATCTTCATCATATCGACTTAACTTCTGTCAATATTATTGAAGTCGACACTCTCTATGCTTTAATGTAGTAACATCCAACGAAAAAAAAAGGCGATCAACGTATAATCAAACTTTTTCACGTCTATAGTCATATAAATCCAACACTTTGTTCTGTCATCATATTCGTTCATCTACGTGAGCCAGCCTCTCAACTGCTTCCTCCTCCGTCAGTGGCTTTTCTCTTTGTCAACAGTAATGGTACAGTACAAGTTAGCAAAATCACTACCATTCGACAATTGAGCCTCGAGTTAACCTCTGATCTTGTTTCGCCACAAGCACTTTGTTCCTACATACCTCTTGATGATGCTGTTACACTAGGCAGTTGAACATCCTCAAAGGTATTTGCAGACGCTTTTGCAAGAACCTCCTGAAGAACAAGAAATGTTCTATGATGCTGAATCAGAACTTTTATAAAGGTATCTTTGAGCAAACGTACATATATTCTTATCCTTTCGTCTCTTTTAAGATTAAAATCCTGTATCGCATACTTTGTCCGTCACCTAAATTTAGACAGCTTGGCAAACAATACACGTGACATACACTTTTTTTCTTTTTCTTTTCTTTTTCTTATTCCCTCTGCTGATTATGAAAATAATGAGACATCCTAGTCAAGTTTGATATTCACTTGATTATTGTTTTTATATCATGGTGTGCATGTCCATACAAAGGACAACAACAACAAAAAAAAGCTCAGCGACAAGACAAGCCATCCAAAGTCAGACGACGGAGTTTCTATCCTCTTTTTCTTATAAAGCATCATCTTTTTCTTGTACTTTTCTTTGTTGGAAAATAAAAAAATTCTTACACTGTGATAAAATGGGTGCATTTGATGAAATCAAGTCTAGAAACTTTTCGCTTTACGGACAATGGTAAATATATACATGAATATCAAGAGGAAAATAGTTTTGTTGATGAGTTAAATACAAAGGCTTGGTATAGTCTCTATCATTTGTAAGTGTAGATGACAGTATCAATTTTCTTCTTTCTAACTTTCGTGTACAGTATTGATTGTTTTAGGTATTGTTGGATTTCTTAATCATGTAATCTTTAGTATTGTTGGATTGTAAAGTATACGTAATAATACATTATATGATCACTAATATTCTTTTGCAGCGTCATCGCCTTTATTCTCGTCTTTGTAGAGGTTCCATTATGCTTAAAGGTAAGAAAAGAGAGACAGAGGGAAAGATAGGGATAGAGTGATTCATTGTTTGCTTAGTTTTGTCCAACAAGCCCTAAATTGTAAGCCTGGTACATTCATATACACACATGTATCTGACACCACTCGTTTCTATAGCGACACGTTCATCTCTTACTTTGAAAACTGCTACTTCCGCGCTTTGATGTATTTGGCGTAAGTGTTTAAGGTCTTGGAGATTTAAAATAAGATTGACCGTGTCTATTAGATTTGCTGTTGTTATGTTTCTTTCCAACTTGAAAGGAACCGGACCACTTATCGCTACGGGTGTTTCTCTCCTACTTGCCGCTATATGTTATGGTAAGTCAAAAGTTACACAGACGGACAATTATTGACGCATGAACCATAGGTATTGCCGCCTTCACAGGTCAGGCCTTTGCCAGTTCAAAGTAAGTTAGATTCAAAAATTTTGTGCACATGTCAGCGTTTACTAAAACACATGTTAGATTACTTGGGGGTACTGGAGTTGATAACGTTGTATAAATAGGAAAAAGAATGTGTAGTAATAACAATAATAATAAATAATCATATTTTTCTCTGCAAGCACAGTGTATTAAAAAGGCAAATGAAAAGGGGCAAAACAAGATGTGTCGAGAGAGAGGGAGTAGCGATGAGGTTCTTATATAAACAAGCTATTATTTTTTCTTATTTGTTTATTATTATAAAAAAAAAAAGATGGAAAAGTTTAAAGAAGTAAGTTATGCATGTCATCTGATGAGAACTGGTACTCACATTGAACAAGAAATTAAATATACTTCGTGAACAAGCTGAAAGTGCTACTGCTGCTGGTGATGAATATGCAAGCTTGATAAAACAATTAGAAGCTGAAGATATTCAAAAGAGTCATGAAATTAACTCTTTACAATCCAAGATCAAGTCTTTGGAAGATCAGCTCGAAAAGACTGAAAATAAACTGCAAGTCATAAGCTTAAAGTCTCAAGAAGCTGATATAAAGGCAGAATCCCTTGAAAAAACTGTCGGAGAGCTTGAAAATCAATTAGAAAATGCTGAATCAAGATATGATGAATTACAAGTGTTGAACAAAGCGATCATGGAAGAGATGGCAGAGTATGAGCGCCAATTAGAAGTCGCTTAAATGGATATTTAATATAAGCAAAATAAAGCATCAATTTTTGACAGTTTTTTTAATACACTAAATGGGTTGTTTCAGGAACAAAATTTAGAAAGAGCATAAAAAGAGATGTTCATTTTAATAATCAACCACTTAACACCAAACAAGAAGAATAATCCTACGGTTGATAACTATACTAATTTAAAGTAACTAAGCTGCTTTATTAATAGAACCCAAGGAAAAGAAAAAGGGAGTCGAATCACATAATGATATATAATAGACGTATTGAGTGGTTAAAACTATATATTACAGTCGTAGTCATCTTCCTATAGTTCCAATGCGTCTTTGACAATAAAAAAGTCAAGATAATAACTTTTTAAACAAACAAAAGACTGAGAGAGTATTCTAAGCGAATAAAAATCGAGTTTGGTGGTGCAATAGAGGTCTTTTGATCTTTTCTCTGTCACTCTTTCACTCTTTTTTTCTTCTTTACTTCTTTTCCCTCTTTCTTTAATTTACTTCTCTTTTTTATGAACAAGAGTATATTCTTTATAGACTGTGTGGATTACATAATTTATTGCTTTTGGCAAGTCACTTTTCTATAAGGAAATTGCTGATTTCATACATATAAAAAAACTTAACCCGAGACAGCGGCTATGTAGACTTTTTTTTTCCTTCTTTAATTTGGAAATGAATCAGCCAAACACAGACAGTCATCTTTCGGAAGAAACTAGTAGCCGAAGGACATCAAGTGCTATGGCAGATATGGAACCACCCTTTTTGGTTCGTACTAAAACAAAAGAAGAGATAGAGCAAAGGAGACAGAAATACAAGGAGCAACAGGACAACAGACACAAGAGAGGGCCTTATAGCTACCTAGGACAGCTCTATTCCAAATATTCGACTTCATATTTGCTAGAAAATAAATCTGCTACAGCTAGAGATCATCTAGCAAACGAGCGTACCTTCCTAGCCTGGTTAAGAACATCGCTATCACTTATTACCGTCGGCGTAGGTAAATGTACATCCCCTTTCTTCTTTTTACCATATTCTAACATGAGTGTAGCCATAACTCAACTATACCATCTATCCCCCGAATCAATGACAAATCGTTATACAAAAGCTGGTAAATCAGTAGGAGCTACATTTGTCGTGTTTAGTATCGTATTCCTATACTTTGCCAATGCTCGTTATTTTCATACACAAATTGCTCTCACTAAGGGACAATTCCCTGCTAGTAGAGGAGCCGTCATATTTGGATCTACTTGTATATTAGCCGTCTTAATAGCCATGTTTGTTATCATCCTGTTAGATTTAAACTAAATATATTTATATGCATTTGTTTACATGGATATGCATGCAGGAGTATTACTACTGCTGTCATTGATGATGACTATGGGTTCTATGTGCGCTTCATGCAAAAGAAAGCCCTTGAGCTGACCATATACTTTTCTCTTTTCCTAGGGAAAATAGGTAGTCAAGTTTCGATTTCACTTGCCTGTGGCTGTGGTAAAGAATATATCCAATGCTAAGAATCCCTCCATTGCAGATGGCAAAGACAATTGTTGCTTATGAATACACATGAGAAGAGGCATACACTGCCAAATCTGAAATGACAAGAATCACATCAAAACGCTGTAGTTGGTATTCTAAGCTAATTCATAATTGGTTAAACATATTTGGGGACGCCATCTTGATAATTTGTAGTGAATTACCTGTGGCACATACAGAGGGAAATCTTCGTTCTGTATTATATAAACCTTGGCTTGTTCTTTTTCTTTCTTTCTTTTTCTTTCTCTTGGCTACAGACACAACCAAACGATGCATCAACACAATCAATCTACCTCATCACTACTGAACAATTCAACACCAACTGTGAAAGATATAAACCTTTGCGGTGGCCAATGGTATATATGTCAATAAGCCAAATATTAACTAGGCTAACCTTATATACACCCATTCGCTCACACAGTAAATGGTGCGGGCAATATGGTCATCAAAGAGATGAATGTCCCCTACTAAAATAACATGTCATCTATGTCTTTACTTCAGGCACGCACTGTCATTAGAGAAGTCGGCGTAAATTGTGCAACTATGAAGTTGTTTGTTTGTAATGTAAGAAACTTTAAATAAACTTTCTCTTGGGATACACTGTTTCTAGATCTTTTCACCCCAACTATTTCTTTTCCCCTCCTTTCTCTCTATCTTGAACAATTTGGAAGGTTGATTTCTGCCGTCTATAATGCCATGAAAACAGAATAAAAAAGACAGCACATCCTGGGATAAAAGAAAAATGGGTAGCATTCGTTTCATAAGCTTGCCTCATTCCTACCAATCAAGCCATGAACAAAAGGCCATACTGCGCACTTCTCAAATCATAATGGCGAAAAGAGGTATACAACCCGTTTTGTAACTGGACATTGACAGGCATTGTCCAAAAGAAACCTTTTTTGGTTTTTACCTTGAAATTCACATCGCTTTGGTAGATCAACCTTTCCTCCGTTTCTTATTGGTTGTATTTTACATTGCCTTACTCAGCATCGTTCACTTATGCATGCATTTAAAAAGCACAGCTTGGCTTAGACTGCAATATTTAATTTTATGCAGTTAAGTATTTCAAAAGAAGGTTTCGGGCAAAAATAGGCTACTGCATAAAAATACTTAAGCTTGTTTAATTACAGTGTGTTGTTTCATAGAAAAAAAAAAAAAAAAAAAAAAAAAAAAAACAAATCAAAAACCATTTTTGGATCTTCAAGACAGAATGACATCCTCTCTCTCACTCTAGCAAAGCACTATATATATGTGTCTCATGATGTACTCAGAATTTCAGAATTACATAACCATAGCATTTAGCACCTGTATACCTTTATCCTGAAAAGATGATCGCGTTGAGAGAGAGAGCGCGTATCATTATGACGTAATGATAGCGTAGATCAGTAGTAGCTTAAAATGAGCAGCAAAAAAAAAGACAGGATAAACTTCTTTTTAAATAACTACACAAAAAATGAACAACACACAGCCTATTTCTGGAACCATAAAAGATATACAACAAGAACATTATCAGCATGAACCATTCCATGAAAGGAGAAGATCTAGTGTTTCAGAGTCACCCATATCACCTATGCCAACAGGACCAGAAAGAATGGCAGCCCTAAGAAATCTTGGGGCTACCTTTGAGGAAGGGAAAAAGTCGGTTGCAAAAGTGGCAACTCCCAATGAGACAGTTGTGCCAAGCTTTGTGGATTTAAATCAATTAGAATATATGCTACATCATAAACGCGGCGCAGATATGGAAGAAGTTGCAAAGAGATCGAGTATACCATAAAATAAAGCATGAACAAAGTCAGCTGTTTTCCTATTATTACAATGTCTCTCTCTCTATGAATTATGTGCTACATATATACACAAAAGGAATAATGAATTAATTTACTAAATATTAATAACAACGCAAAAAGTCTGTTCTTTGGGGGAAAACTAAAAAATACAATTTCTATAAAATGTAGATAAATGATTGATCTTGCTCATCACTGATATCTTCTTGAATATAGGTATGAGCAGGCACCATATTCACATTGGAGGAATGTCCCATCAAAAGAAGTCTGCGACTGTTGGCGACGGCCATTCGCCATCGAGCAACCAAAAAGAGAATAAACACGAGACAATTTGCCACAAGGTATCCGAGCATGCCCTCAATAAACGGAGGCTTAACCATCATGAGAGGACCCACAGCATTGCCAATGGTATAGAACAGCATAAGAACTCCGTTATAAAAGATTTTCTTCGTGTAACCAGTCACATTATTGGAAACAGAGGTAATCAACAGTACATAGACACTACAGTAGGACCAAGCCAGATAGAAACCAATTAGCTTGAGCTGAGTTATAGGGATGACAAGCAGGAGGATCAGGCCGATGATATTGACTGCTGTCAGAGCACAGGCTGTGTAAATGGTCTGCTGAGTCTTTCGCACGGCGACAATAGCAATGACAATAAAGACAACTGTGGAACCACCAGCACCAGCGGTGAGTAACATTGATTGTAATTGCTGCCATAAATAAATGTAAATTAGCATAAAGTATTTTGTCAATTGAGTGGGGTTTCTTACATTAAAACCAAAGCTTTGTGCAATCTGGCCATTATAAATAGTCATGGCGCCATTTTGAAGATTGATTAACAAGCAAGCAAATGAGTAGCACCAGAAACGGATTTCCTTGATAGCTTCCATAATCTGTTCTCGTTTAATTTCTGTTGTACGTACAGTAGCATTATCTTTTGTTCTTTCTTCTACCAAGAGTTCTTGTTCAGCATTTAATTGAAGCGCGGGTGATTTAGGTGTATCGATTAAGAAGAGGAAAGTGATGATTCCCATAAGAATAGTCGCGCTACCAAGAATGATCATTAACCTAACAATAGATTTGTGAGCGTGCTATAGCAAATCATATAAAAAGATTGCATACCACTGCCATGCTTTGAGCCCGGCAATATTTGCCATATGCCCAATACCATATGCGACTAATCCTCCTGTAAAGAGAGCAAAGCCGTTGCAAATCCAAAAGGCGCCGAGGCGTACGACTTGTTCAGCACGTCTGTAGAACGTACTGATAAGTAAGGTCAAGCAAGGATAAATTCCGGCTTCAAAGAATCCAAGTAAAAATCTCAATGCGGCAACTTGTGAAAAGTTTGTTACGAAAGCAGTGCAAAGCAAGACAAGACCCCACAGAATAACGAGGACTCCAATATATCTAGCAATTGGAATACGCTGCAACAGGAAATTGTTGGGAAGCTAAGATAAGATAATAAAGGAGGTATAAGCCATAGTAATACTTTTTTTTTAATCTTTTTTTGTTTACTTGATAAATGAAATAGCCCAAGTAAAACATTGTACCGAGTAAACTGTATTGAGAACCTTGAAGGTTTAAATCTGCTTTGAATGACATTAAGGCAGCATAATTAATTGTTGATTTATCCAAAAACTACAAGATTTGATAAGATAACATGTACAAGAAAATAAAAGATGAATTTACCTGTAAAAAATCAAGAGTACAAATAATTGGCAGCACAAGTAAATCAATTTTTCGAACAAGTGCCTTTTCTTCTGCTGAATAGTCCTGAACATTGATATCTGCTACTCCATGAAACATATCATCTCTATTTCGGGCGTACTGCCAAGGCTTATCTTGGAATGGAGGTGTTTCGATTTCTAGTCCTGGTGAAGGATAACGATTATAGACATCATCTTCCATATAGCGATAATTCAGGGAGGAAAATTTGTCATTATATTGATCCAAGTTGTTCATATTGTATACACCTCTTCTTCCCTCTTTCTTGTAGAAAGTGGGTTAACAATTATATTAGAAAAAAGTGAAAGCAAAGGGAAAAAAAAACTGGGAAAAGATGAAAAAACTAAAGATATGTTCCGAATGGGGACTAGCGAAGTTTTAATTTAATAGGATTATAGCAGATGGAGTGGAGACCGAAATAAAGTCCCAATAAAAAAAAATAGGTCTACTACAGCAAGTATTTTTCACTCACTTTTTCATTGTTACAACTCATTGCTATAGCAACAGATCTTTTATTTTTAATTGTGCTTCTATACATTAATGTATTGTTTGTTTTATTGTACTGCTAACACATAAATGGAAATATCGCGTGGTAAAAGGTAATCTGGCCTTGATCTTTTACTATCTCATTTTCGGAAGATGAAATTACAACTGAGTTTAGCTTTCAAAGAACCCTGAAGTGCAACTCTCAAATTTATGCATGGCACGTTGCTATTCAAGTTACACTGTCCGAAAAAAGAAAGCAAGTATTGTTCCGAACGGCCGGCTCTCTTGGTTCTTGAGGCAATGACGCAAATAAAAAATATACATTAATTTCTTGAAAAATCATCCCATTAGTTTGTAGTCATCTGTTTTTTTTGTATTTTTTATATTCATTTCCGCTTAAAGACACTATCTTTTATTGCTTAGATACAACCTAATTTTATACTAATTTTTTTTTAAAAAAAAGGGATAACAGGGAATAAAATGAAAGCAAATTCAATGTGACACGAGAAAAAATTTCTACTAAAGAGAAATGCTCCGTATGAAATATAAAAAAAATACTAAAAATAGCATTATGAAACGACTATATTGTATAGAACCATTTTATAAAAAAAAACTGTATCGATTCATTGATCGTACAGTACCTCGTTGCCTGTCCTGCGCAATCTGATAATTTATCCAATCATGCAACATGCAAAAAAAAAAAGAAAGCTTCTGAATTTCAATCGTTATTGATGTTCAGAAATACAAGACACCGATCACCACGGAGAACATTGTCCTACTTGCCAAATCGATAAATGAAAAAATACTACTTTACAAAGCAAGAGTGGAAAAAGGCAAATTAAGAAAAGACATTTTATTGTGTATATTATAACTAGAGGTATTATTCTATGAATTATGGTTATTAAGGACGGTAAATATAATTCTTGTTTTCGATATCTGTCATATCGTCTACTACTTCCATCTTGGCGGGAAGAGCAAGGCGACGACGGTTTTCCCTGATCATGGTCCAACGAAGGTACATATAAAGGAGGATACAAATAAAATCAGCGGCAATGAATCCGATCATGCCACCAATATAAAGCGGCTTTTGAGAGTCAACCATCATGAAGGGACCAATGAAGTTACCCAAAGTGTAAAAGATCATGATGGAGCTGCTGTAAAATACCTTTTTAGTATAACCAGCAACATTATTGGCGACAACAGTCAAAAGCATAACAAAGGAAGCACAATAAGACCAGACAAGGATAAGGCCGAGAAGTTTCACTTTGAAAGCAGGAATAACGAGAAGCAAGATGAGACCGATAATTGCAACGATCAAGAAGAGAGATGCAAGGTAAAGGGTATGACCGTAGCGACGGTTGAAATAAACGCCTATAAGAATAAATATACATGTAGATGCCCCTGAAGGAATAGTTAACAAGATAGATTGAAGTTTCTAGAGATATGTCAGTTTCAAGCTTCAGGTCATGAAAGCGGCACCTACCGAAAAGCCAAAACCAGCAGTAATGGTCGTATTGAAGCTGCCAAGAGCACTGTTTTGAAGAGTGATAAGTAAAGAACAAATAAGCAGACAGTAGTAGCGAGGCTCTTTCAGCGATTCATATATATGGGATATCTTGAAATTTCTAGTACGAACAACAGCGTTGTCCTCTGTACGTTCTTCAACGATCCTTTCTTCTTCAGCAGATAGTCTGAGTACTTTGCTTTTAGGACTGTCAACCATAAAAAAGAAGCAAACGACACCAAAGGCCATTGTGATAGCACCAAGGATAATCATAATCCATTGCCAAGGCTCCAGACCATTATCATGCATGTAGGCAACACCATAGCTGATAAAGCCACCGATAATCATGGCAAGACCGTTACAGATATAGACAATACCGATACGTCCGGATTGTTCATTACGACGATAGAGTGTACTAATCAGCATTACACAAGCTGGATAAATGCCTGCTTCAAAGAAGCCCAGGAGAAAGCGAAGAGCAGCTAATTGAGAAAAGTTTCGGGCCAGAAAAGTAAGAAGAAGAACAAGACCCCACAGGATGATGAGAGTACCAACATATTTGTTGAGAGGGAGCTTTTGAATGAGGAAAGTGCCAGGGATTTGAAAGATCAGGTAGCCAAGATAAAATATGGAAGTAAGCCAACTGAATTGGGAACCAGTCAGGTGTGTGCTTTGTTGAATACCCATAGGAACAGCATAGTTAAGGGTGCTCTTGTCGAAGAACTATAGGGCCAATGGTTAGTATAAAGCTGCAAACAGGTTAAAAAGCAACAATACCTGTAAGAAGTTCAAAATGGCAACAAAAGGCATAACGTAAATGAAATCCAACTTGCGAACCAGGCGCCTTTCTGTCTGAGAAATGGTAAAATTGCGCTTGTTGCCATTTTCATCGTATTCTTGAGCGGTAGTAATGTCTGATTTTTCATTGATCTCAATTGAACTTGCAATAATAGTATCATCTCTCACCAATGCATCTTCATGAGATGATATCCCGTCGGATCTAGCTTCAACCTTCTCTTCTGTGACCATTTCCGTTGTCACAGTTGTAGTAGTGGTATAAGCTGTTGTGTAGTATTCTTTATTTTCTTCAATTGCCATGAAAACTGTTAATTAAACCCAACTTTGAAAAGAAAAAAAAGGAATAGAGCATCTAAATCGCTCTAGCTTATTTATATTACTCAAGTGTTGCACACATAAAAAAATATGTAAAATTTGGCAATGAAGAACACCTTTGGTTGGCTGTAGCACAAATCAAGCGCTTCCTGAATGCAAAGGTTACATCCATCGCTTCTCTTCGATTTGGAAATTAGCCTAAATGTCCATGTGGAAGATCGCGGAGTCTAATCCGAAATTCTGTCTGTCTGTCAAAAAAAATTAAACAAGCTTCGGTCATTGTTTTATTTCAATTTGAAGCGATTGCTTGGTGTCAAATAATTTATTTCTCGCCAACAACAGTCAACTTGAACTGAAGAGAACGTCAATATAAACGCTGAGAGGGTATTATAGTCAATAATTATAGGCTTGTCTACGTTTCTTGTTCAGAAAGCAGCAGTAAGCTTGCTGGATTCGTAAGTTTGGAGGGACTGGATTTTGAGCTGTGATTCCACTTTTGTATTCGTTTTTTTTGTACCTTTGAAGTCTTGATCTCAAAAGGCTTGCACCTATGTCATAACCAATTCCGGTAGCATTCACTTTGAGATACTTGGTGTTTATAGTCCGGTCAAGTCCATAAAAATTGACTCGGTAAATTTTTATTAAAAAAATACCACTTCCCTCTCTGCGCTTTACGTGCTCGTCTTTCGCCCTCGCTTCCACTGTTACTGTCACTACCGACAATTATTCATCTTTTTGAGTTACCCAACAACTTTTGGATTTGACCCAGAAATCTCTAGCACCGATATATCGATATTCAGTTTCGAATTCCTAAAGATCATGTCGATCTTTGGCCCTTTAAACATATGCTCCTCATCATACAGCTTCTGATTTTCTGCCGCAATTCTCATGTATAGCTCCCCTCTAAATATGATAAAAAACTTTATTCTTTTTATACTATCAATAAACACTTATCATGTTGTACATCAAAGGTTCAGTAACAAGAACAAGTACTCCGTTTCATTGCACCTGTCCAGCTCCTATTCATTAAAATCTGCTGCTTTTTTTTTTACTTTTAAGAACATTAAATTTTAAAGTTTCCTTAAATCGATTGACTGGCTATGGCTGCATTTCACAACCTGGCTGTTTCTTGACGTTGTACAACACATTCATTGTTTTTTTATCAGCAGTGGGCGTTTCTATAATTTCTCCTATTCAATCTTCTTCTTTATACAACTCTTCCTCCTTTACCATTTTTACTTTAAGAATTCCTTTATTTATATTGAAACAGGCGTGAAAAACGTTTCAATTGTCAATGTACATGTGACGTCAATTTCCTTTTCAAACATTTTTCACTATTTTCCATTTTTATTGGATTTCCCCATATTCTTTTTTTTTTCTCTCTCTCTCAGTTGCTCCCACCTCAGTTGCTTCCTCCCTCTCCTCCTCCCCTGTTTCCTTACTACATGCAATGAAACCACATATTCAAAGAATAGCTGCAGCCTCTTTACTGCTACGATCCTCTCGTCCTCTATGGACGACCGCAGTAACTCATTCCAAACCGGCCATTTGTCAGCATTTGCCATACTGCCTTCAAGTGCAACAGCAGCAACAACAACTTATTAGCCAAAACGATCTGACATCGAGACATTTTACGACGGCGTCTACGACCGCACCTGTCACAACTAATTCGGTAGAGGAAGGTAAACATGAACCGGTGCCAGAACCATTCCATTTTATTGCCTACGCTGCATGGCATCCCAAGACAAAACAACGTACAAATCAATCCAAAGTTCCATACTGGAAACAAATTCATCGAACAGGCAAAGTAGACGCAGGCGAAGACGCTTTCTTTCAGACAACAACACCAGAAGGTTTAGCGATCGGCGTTGCTGATGGTGTCGGCGGCTGGAGTACGGTCGGTGTTGATCCAGCCTTGTTCTCTTGGACCTTGATGGATAATGCAGCGATGATAGCCAAACATGAAAAAGTGATTGATGCTCATCAAATTCTGGATGCAGCATTTCATGAACTGAGAAAGAGCGGCAAAGTAGCAGCAGGAAGCAGTACAGCTTGTATCTTGAACTTATCAAAGACGACAGGAGAAATGACGTCCTGCAACCTGGGCGATTCTGCTTTTTTGCTGGTTCGAGATAAGAAGATTGTGTATGAAAGCCCTAGTCAACAGCATTACTTTAACTGCCCGTAAGTGACATATTCTTTTATTCTTTATTTACTCACGAATTTCTATAGCTATCAGCTGACTGTGGTACCCGAGAGCTATCCAAATAGAGACGCACTCGTCACGGATCTACCAAAGGATGCTGATACCAAAAAATTTTATTTAAAGAACGGAGACCTTATCTTACTAGCAACCGACGGTTACTTTGACAACATGTACTCGGAGGAAACGTTAGAAATCATTAATGCTGGTATGGAGTCGATTGAAGGCAAAGATCCTGATATGGTGAAAGCTACTATCAGGAGACTTGCTAAAACACTGACCGAAAAGGCTCGTCGACAAAGTCTTGATCCAAAACGACTCAGTCCATGGGCCAAAGCTGCTCAAGCACATGGAAGTAATTATAGAGGAGGAAAGGTTGATGATATCACATGTATTGTCACCCTTGTTTGCCATAACAAAATGTAAAAAAAAGGACTTTATTTATTTTTTGATGTGTATTTGTAAAATAAAAAACACTTATTACTGTACAGAAGAAGAGGTATTTTAATTATTGTTATCAAAGGCTTGAGCAATCTGAGGATTTCTTCCATAGGTTGGCCATAAGGAGGCAACAAAAATGACAATGCATCGTTTACATGTATCCCAAAACGTGGGCTGTTGCAACGGTGCGTTGGCGTGAGAAGTGGATGAAGAGGGGCTGGTTTCCTGAGGAGACCCTTCTGAGGGTTGATTATCTGGTGAATGATTGTTTTGTTGAGTGCCATCGGGCGCACCATTATCAGCAGGGGGAACTGTCAAAAAAGGGGGAGGTATGAATCAGTTGATACTAGCATAACAATAATCACTGCTTACCTTCTGTACGACGAGGCGGTGTCTGTGCGAGAGGTCTGCCATTTATTATACCTTGGTTTCGAATTCGACGAACGACAACTCTTAGTCTTCCTGTTTGATATAGAAAGAATACAAAGGCAGCCAGATGATAAATCACAATCCTTTGTAAACTTGCTCCTTGGCAGAGCATAAATAGAACGACGGCCAGCTTGAGTATAAGCCAGATAGAAGTGATTTGTCGGGCATCAATGCGCGCACGAAAAACTAAGGTCCTTTCTCGTTGCTGTTGTTGTTGTGGCTGTTGTGGCTGTTGTTGTTGTTGGAGCAGTGGTTGTGCTTGCGATGTATTGTCAGTTTGATATAACTGTTGATAAACAGGAGCATATGCTGCTGCGGGATTGGTAATAAAATGGGTATGTGAAAGTGGAACGTTTGGCTGGCTGGCTGGAACAAGAACGGGTGCAAGAAAGTATTGTCCACTAGCAAAAAGAACAGAGGTTATCTTTACTGTTTTATTAACAGCTTTTCAACTTACTTGATAGCAACAAGGTGATATCCACTATGCAACATTGGCTGAACTAACGGCTGAGTAGTGTTTGTAGGGTTGGTAGTTAAAGGTGTATTGGCAGTAGTGATATTTTCAGTAAATGCATTGGTGCTATCGGTAGAAATAGTAGTGGTAGAAGTAGTAGTGGTAGCGGTAGTACTTGAGCCATGAGAGGTGGATTGTATTGACTGTGTTGATGTCTGCTTTTTAAGTGATCGTACAGAAGGTTTAACGACTAAATGAAAAGTGGGTGCCACATCACGGTTTGCCTATTATCACTTTTTAGATTTCAAATATAACAAGTGCAAGCTATCGTTTACCTTGCTGACAACTGCATCAATAACTTCAGTATCCTGTAATAGTCTTCCACTGTAAATGATGCGTTGATCACTACTGCTAGGATGATGTGGGTGAATGGGTTCAATAGCCTGTTTTAAATCTAAAATAGTTGCATTTGGGCTAATTGTGACAGATAATGTTTCTTCTAATGAAGGCGAACGAATGCAAACTATCAGGTCCTTTTCTGAACTATCCATCTTGAGAATAAAAAAGGATAAAGAAAAGGGCAGAAATATTATAGCCACGTAGACCAATGATATTCGACATAATTAATTACATAAGCAGAGAATGAAGTGACAATGCAGAATAACATGTTTATTTGTGATTAAAATGATCGACGTGGTCTAATCAAAGGCTCCGTTTGAGCCTTGATTAATTTGATTCGTCGTGACTTTGCTACTGAAGCAGCAGCTATAGAGGTCATAGGTAGAGATACGCGAATGGCTATTGATGGCTTGCTGACATCTTCATCTTGGTCTTTTCTTTGTGATAGATCACGTAATGATTGAAATTGATGTCTGGGAGGTAAGGCCAATTGATTCTGATAGGGTCGAGCGTTGACATTAGATAGTTCACTTTCGTCTTCTTTGTCATAATAATAAATGTGGCTATAATTTGGTAAGGAAAACGATCGATTCACTATGGTTGATTGTTGCTGTTTAGTAAATAATGAAGGAAATAAGAGTGAAGGTGTTTCTAGATGGAAAGACATTGAAGGGATAAAAAAGAAGAAAAAGTGGGCAAACATAGATGGATTAAGATTAATTGTGTACGGGAGGCATACCTCCTAAGCTTAATCCCCATATAAGTATAATCTTTGGCCGTCACTATTTTATAATTTATTTACATCTACGCACTTGATAATGTTATGCCATGTTTACAAATAGGACACTGATGAAAATAAAAAAAAAAAGAAGGATAAGGCTTTTGTAGACATGGAAACCATATTCACTTACCCATCCATTCTGTGTCAACAACCAAGCATCAATGCAATCTTTATGATATTGATGTTGGCATGGCAACAAACGCAACGAATCATTTTCTTTGTACTCTTGTAAACAGATCGAACAAGACTCTTCTTCTTTTTGATCATGATATAATTTGACACCCAAATTTGAAACAATCGATAGCTGCTTTCTTCTTTTAACTCCCTGCCTAACTTTACAATATGCATAGGTGATCAATAATATGGCACAAGGGGAAAATAAAATGACGAATGGCCTTTTTATGATATTAGTCTCAATACTTCATAATCGTTACTTCATTACCAATTGACTGCCTCTGTGTACTCTTGTTGCAATATAGTCATTAAAGGTGATTTGAATAACTGGGTTAAATGCAATATCCTTTTATATTCACTTTCTGCTAAAAATACACTTGGAATTATAATATCTGATGTGTCACCTATTTTCCAGTGTGTATAAAAATCAATTGGCTGTGCAATTATTCAATTTACCTGAAGTACACATAGTAATCCTTTGCCTTGTATCTGGGTCACCTACAATGACAGCTATTGCTCCACTCTTTTGCATGGCTCGCACTTTGCTGATAAATGAGCATCCTCCTCTTCTGACAAGTGCGATCCAATCTGTACACGGTGGCTCAACCAGACTACATCCTGTTGGATCTGAGGCTGGTTCTGCTAAAAAACCTAATTTTCCGTTAGGAGATATTCTTGGTCCAAATGCTGCTATACGGTCATGAAAAGTTTCGTTTGATATCTACATGATATAGGTTCGGCCTTTTATTTAATTTAATTTATGCTCCCTTATTTACCGTGACATGTGTTGACGCATAAGCAAAGGGGAAGAGAGAAAAGGATAATAACTTGAGGAGTTTCATTAATGGCTTGTCTATTTAAGAAGTTTTGTAGGGAGTCGAGATAAAAACAAGAAAAAAAAAAAGAAAAACCACAGGAAAGAAACAGTTGCCATTGACAATAGAAACACATTTAAACTCCGAAGCATCATGCCTTTTTTATTCCTTATAAACAATTGTTTTCCTATTTCTTTCTTTTATTCTTTTTCATTATTTTTTTCAATGCATAATAATAGCAACAGTACATTCGCACTTATAAAAAACTTAGTTCCTAGACAACACTTGCAACAATGGAAACCCGCGGAACCAATATCATCAAATAAAAAGTCACTTATAAAATGGTTTTACTTTTTTAGATCAACACCAGAACATCTACCCGTGCGGGTGTCAAATATAGCATACAAAGACTATGATCCAGGCACAGGGAATAAAATACTAAACAACTATATGATCCTCAGAGAGATTGGAAGAGGCATGCATGGTAAAGTCAAACTGGCTCAAGATTTAGACACGGGTGAACTCGTGGTAAATATACAAAATCATACAAGACACACTTTTAATAACAGCCGTCGTACTTTAAGGCAATTAAAGTGGTTGATAAACAGTCAAGGAAAAGACAGCTAGGCTATGGACCATTAAGGAAATCAAGAGATACAGATGGTGAACAAAGAGTTCGAAGGGAGATTGCCATTCTTCAAAAGTGTGTTCATCCACACGTTGTTCGATTGCAAGAAGTCATTGATGATTACTCAAGCAAGAAAATCTATATGGGTACAGCAAGAATTTATGCATATTCTATTACTGTCGTCACTCATGTCTCTCTTTTTCAGTTTTAGAATATATGGAAGGTGGCGAGATTGTTTGGAGAACACCTGATGACGGACCCGCTCTATCTGTAAGCCAAGCCCGTCAGATATTCAGAGATCTTGTCAGTGGACTAGATTACAGTAAGTGCTATAACCATAGCATGTCATCTAATGTTAAAAGTATATTCTAGTCCATTATCAAGGTATTATCCACCGCGATATCAAGCCCTCAAATCTTCTCTACACCAAAGACAACAAGAGCGTTAAAATATCTGACTTTGGTGTGTCGTACTTTAATGAACGTTTGGCTGGCCCCAATGTACATTATGATGATAGCATCGAAAAGGATCTAGAAGAAACCGCTGGCACTCCGGCTTTCTTTGCTCCCGAACTTTGCAGTCCACAGCATCTCTGGAAGATTACAAAAGCAATTGACGTCTGGGCAGCTGGTGTCACTCTTTACTGTCTACTTTACGGTCAATGTCCATTCACGGCTGCAAGCGAATATGAGCTATTCGAAGTCATTCTAAACACTCCTCTCGTGTTTCCTGATGCAACTCAGGTGGGGTTTGAAACATCGGATGATTTAAAAGATTTGTTATCTAAACTGCTGGAGAAGGATCCAGAAAAGAGAATCACCTTGGATCAAGTTAAACGTCATCCCTGGGTCATTGAGGATTTAAGGCATCCATCAGCTTGGCGAAGAGAGGCTAATCCAAAAAAATACTAAACAGTAAACTTTTTGATTAATAGAGGTGGAATTAAAAAATAATAATACAAGCTCTCATCTTATTCTTTGACTATTCTAAATCGTTTCTATTGACCAAAGGAGACGAAATGACAGATACTGTCTAATGATCTTATTTTATGCCTGAGTCAATATTTTTAATCATGAAATTTCTATCTTGACTTAAAACAACACTGATGCATTCATGTTTTATTTTCACCAAAACCGCATTCATGCATAACTTTAAGAGCAACATAATGAAAAAGCTACTTTTACAAATTTGTTTCTAAAAACAAAGGGTATGAAACAAGCAATATATTTCTGAAACCAGCATTTCATTTTGCATAAAACTGGCACAGCAGCATCAGAGAGAGAAAAGCGTAATACACTTTTGACCTGTAAAATAAGCCCATATCCCAAATGTGCAGCAGTCATAAAGAAATGCTCAATAACCTTTGTTCTTGCCGTCATCTCCTCATCAACTCAGGTAGCTGAAATAAAAGACGATACTAAGGAATTGAGAGCTGCAAAGGAAGAGTATGAAGAATGGCTTTCTGAGAGTATTCTTGCTAACATAGCAGACTCAAACAAGCCAAGATGTTCAAGATGAGAGGCACTACCTCATGGTCTGATTTGTTGATATCTTATACCACGAAAGGTCTGTTCAGTATCCTATTGTTGAGATTACTAAGAGCAAGCGTCAAGTTTCTTTGGGCCTTTTAGAAAGAGATTTCAGTTTTATTTTATTTTCAAGAACTAAAATGAGAAGGGGGTATCGTTTCCTTATGGAGAATAAGGTGGTGGTGCCTGGGATTTGTCATGTAATTGTCGTTCAGATGGAATATCACGACCAAAGTTGGCTTCTAATATCCTAGAAACCGCATGCTGATTTACAGGGTTTGCCGTTGACGTCGTCAATACTGTTGCGGTTGGTAATGATGATTGTATTTGGGTCATGCTTGATCCGCCTCTCTCTCTCTTTTGATTCTTTATATGTCTGGCCTTAATATAGATGAACAGCATGATGGCAATGATAACTACTGTGCCCAAGGTATAGAGTATGATATGAACTGTATTAAGGCTACTGGTTATCGACGGCGAATTAAGCTGACAGGTTTTGTTGACGCATACCAGTCTGTGAACACATTGACTTGAAGATTCACAGACTTCGCCATGGTGTAGTTTAGGCATACATACTCCAGATAAGCCACAATACAGGAACCGTGCACAGTTGCCGTAGAATGGATCGTACGTTCTAGTTGTATTAGTGATAGGTGGCCGTTCGCAGGGTTCTCCCAGCTGGGCGGTCGTGTTACCTACAAAAACTGGTACCGATGTTGCACTCGTTAGAATCCACCTGTGGGTTGTACAGATTAGATTGGACTGGCGAATTTATTTACCAGGTAAATGTTTACCTTGTTGTGTTTGTCTTGATTGCACATCTTGAATAACCACTCGTTACTTCACACACTTCATTATTATGCAAGCATGGGAAAGTGCATTCATTTTGAATACATAATATAGAATGAATGTATATAACTAATGTAGATAGAACCAATACAAGGGCCTTCATAGAATTATATACATTGGCCTGCGATAAGAAAAAAAGGAAGAAGGAAAAAAAAAACAGATGTATCTCTTGTTATTAGCGCTTCTTTAAATAACAGCGGAATATTATGTACCCTTGGTTATGATAGCGCTTTTGTTGTCAAAAGAAAAGGAAAAGCTTTAAACCATTTCTTTAAACAAATAAAAGATTATAAGAAAATATACTAGTGCGTTTTTCTTATGCTTTTTTAATGCAAAATGAATTAGCCTTCAGCAAAACTGCATTGTTCTTTGGCTATGATGTTACACGAGAAGTACAAAAGTATCAAGCTTTCTTTTGTGCTACTCTCTGATAGCTTGTTTTCTTCGAAGATACGGTGAGAACAGTAAATTTTGTCACTTTGAGAAAATTAAATGTCCGTAACCAAAAAATAAATGTCACTTTCTAAAAAACTAATGGCTTACTGACTTTCCTTTACCTAGCATTCCCTATTGTAAATACCTTTTACAATTGCTGTCTGCTGTGCCAGATGACTTACCATCCTCATACATTTGGCCACTGCTGTTCCCCAGCTTTCGGTCTTCCTATCTGTCTACTAATTCCTTGCATAGCTTTTCTACTTTATTACAACCTATTGATTCAATTACCCCCTCTTCTTTCGATGATATTGTGCTTTCTCCTACTACTTACCTGTGTTTACCTTTGTCCCTTATTATTTTTCCTTCTTGTACATCTTCCTCATTACCACGTATTTTTTCTTGTGCTTTTAAAAAAATGATCGGTTCACACATTCTAAGGCTAGATCCAGTCAACCACCATCTTCGCTTCTGTCACTTTACATCCACCGAAATCTTTAGCTACTCCCGCACCAGCAAGCAAGTCATAAATTTACTTTCGACTGGCACTATCCAACTATGTTCGATGCTCTCTTCAATTTTAACCACCACTACAACCGATGGTGCCTCCACTCCTTTTGACCTCTCCCCGATCATCTCTCAGGTCTTTGGGTCCCCTTCGCTTGTTGACATACCACCTCGTCTATTGGCACTTTCGCCTAAGGTATACAAACTTCTTGACCGTCTACATAATCCTGCTACTCTTCGGCCATTCCATGATTCTTCTCCACGCAACTCACTATCTCGCCCTCCAGTCCTTCCAGCTCGGGTTTGGATGGAACTTTGATCTGCTAAAATACCTCACCTCTCACGCACCATTTGGTACAAAATTCTCCATTGACGGATCCCCAACTTGGGCCTCCTACATCATATTTCTCCCGCTAAATTCACCATCAACATCTGTCCCCTTTGCTCCACCGAACCTGACTCTCTGTTACATTTTTTCTTCACTTGCCCGACTGTCTCTGCTGTTTAGTCCTTGGTAGCTCCGAAGTTTTTCGCACCTCAATGGATTTCCCATATATACTTCTTCCTTAAAGATTACTCTTCCGCTGTCTTTTATATGCGCCCGATGCCACCCCGAGACCTCTCCTTACCGGAGGCTTCATTTCTCTCTTCCTTCCAGATCGTTGCTTGTGTCTTGCAAGCTATTTGGATTTGTCGATGGCAGTTCTTATTCCATGACACTCCTTTTACCGCCAACTACGTCTTTGCATGTGCTGAACGTCTTATACACCGCTTTAATTCGATTGTTGCTCCTCGGTGACAGTCTTTAGGATGTGTGGCCTCTAAAAATAATAATAATAATAATAATTACTATTTAACCCTCATTACCTCTCATTATTCCCTTCATAATTCAACTCTAAATATCCGCTTCAATAAACTGGGCACTCAATATGAGCGCTGTCCCCTAAAAAAAATTAATGACATACGTTACACTAACTACGTCGAAAACAATTGCTTCAATTATGCCACCTGGCGACATAAATAGCAACAATTTAATAAGTACGAATGATATTCTCACTCAGGAAGCAGTAACTACTTTGCTTTTGCAGTTTGAGAGCCATCGCAAATCCTTGAGATGTCTTCATTGCGAGAAGATGGGCCATTTTCGTCGTAATGGATCCACTAAAACTGATCCACCCATGCCCATATTTCGTTGTTATGGGTGTGGAAAGACTTTTAAGGCTCGAACCATGATGTTCATTGTTTAGTCTTTAGCTTCTCCTAATAGTCTTGTAAGCTCACCAAACAACGAAACTTCTGGAGTTTTCCACAATACACGGCCTACCCAAAACAGTAACACGAACGACCAGGCACACGATATGCAGACCTTACTGGACATGATTAAACGACTCTCAACCGAACTTGCAGCAATCCGTGCAGAGATAGCCAACTTTCGTCAACAGGTGACCCAACTACAAGAACAAGCGATACAGAAATCCACGAATATGAACCAATCCAACCATCACGAAGACGACAACCATCTCAGCTCCAAAGATTTTCCTGCGCTACCCTCCCAAACACCTCCATGGCATAACCCTCAGCGTATTTCCCAAATCAAGCGCAGTCTTGCAGAGCATGAGCAACAACGCCGATTGCAACGGCAGGAAGCAGCTGCACGCCTCCTACAACCACCATTTGAGAATCAAGGATTCCAATACGTATACTTACCAATTAAAGCACGAGTTCCTATCGACCAGATTCGTACTCGTTTGAGAAAACCCTATATTGCGAACAATCGTATATTGGATATACACTATCCAGACCGCAATGTTGTTGCGTTACTTGTGCATAATGATTATGTGAATGAGCTTCGTAAACAGTTAGAACGGTTTAAAGTTACCCTTAAGGATGATTTTGGTCCCTGTGATCCCAAAGTCTTGCGAGATCCTAAATATATTAATCTTTCACCTGAAGAAAGAGCCAATTTCGCCTTCATGCACCACAGTGGCCGTATGGCACGCGCCCTGATTTACATTCGCGCCTCCGTCAAGTACGCTGTTGCTCGGTTCTTCTATTCTAAAGGATGGATCAGTAAAACGCATTTACAAGAAACCTTACCTAGTAGTCGTAAAGTATTCGACCAAGCTGCTGACATTTTTCAATCTGACGATGTCTCCATGGACAGCGCGGATGACTTATTCCACAAATCTATCAACACTGGCACTAACTCTACAAGGGAAGCTATTATCATAGGCGACTCTGTATCCTTATGAACCACCTAACAATTACACTTTTCAACGCCACTGGTCTACCCAGGCATGTCATTACGCCTATTACTGATGCAGCGCAACCAACGTTGATCCTTTTAATTATTGAAACCTAGCTACTCCCACCTATAAGATAGCCAACAAATTGGAAACAATTTCATATGTATGGTATACCTATTGGATACTATAATAACAGAGGTGCGCAAGATATATGTATGCTGATAAATCCTAACTGTCCGTACCACATCCATTGCTTGTCCTCTCGTGATTCTTTTTTTGCTCAGTATCAACTTTCTTTCACAATAGCTGATACATTAATTCACTACTTATATTTGCCACCTTCCCTGGATAATTAGACAGTCTTAGAGATTCTATCATCGCTCCCATCAACAACTCCTAACACAAGGTAAACCATCATATGTGGTGATTTTAACGCTAGATTTGGCTCTTATACAGGGGATCGCTCGACCAATCCTCAGGGTAACGTTGTACACCGCTGGCTTAAAGAAAAGGGCATCATCGTATGGAATAAGCGACTGGCTTTTGGGCAACCTACATTTCTGACACATAAAGAGGATAGTATTATTGATCTTTTCATGAGTACCACTGAACTAAATGAGCCAGAAATGAAGATCCTTGTGGATAAATCCCTCGGTTCCAACCACAAGATGAACTCTTTCTCTTTTAAAACCACCGCTCCTTATCGGCCGACACAAGTACAGCGAGTCATATGTGTCGTATTTACCCTATAAATACTTAATCTTGTCGTATGAGATTACTATAAATCTATACTCTAAGAATGAATAATGCAAAGATACTGACAACAATACATGTTATTAACATATAACGCGATATGCCCAACTATCATTGGACATAATTAAATCGGTTCCTTAACAATTCTATCTTCATATAAAATGACCCTGTTTGTAATATTGGGCTCTCTCTCGTCTTGATCTTAATAAAGAGGTTATATAGAGACTCATTAACTTATACTTCTCTTATAATTTTCCATTGTTTTGATCAATACCTCAATATGGAATCTTGAAAAATTGAGAGAACAAAAGGTTCGCGACGCATACACTCAACAAATACAATCCACCTTAACCCGTCTTGAACTGTCAACTCGATCTGTTTCCCATCGGGTTGATGATGTAAAAACAGCACAAAGACGTATAGAAGGGCTCAACCATTCTATGTGCCAAATCATATATGACTCACTAGATACCACATGCGGTCGGGTTACTTCAAGCTATAACTACTGGCAGGGCTCCTGGGCCACTGAAATGCTACAAGCCCTTCAAACCCGTGAACACTACTATCGTAAATGGCGCAAGGCGTATGGTCTTAATAAGTTACATTGCTGGATTCGACATTAGGAAGCCTCTTCCCATCTTAAGCAACTAATACATCGACGACGATGAGAGGCATGGGACAAATTTTGTCACCAAATGGCCACAGGCGAGTACACTAAAGCGCTGGCGAAAATAAGTAAAATACGCAAAAATCGTACTTTAAATCCAACTTTCTCCACTTCTGAATGTGCACAGCACTCTGTGAACATCATGACGACACATATGGAATCTATTTATTCTGGTGGCCCACTTAGTAATGTGTGAGCACATGAGATCGCCTCACCTATTCTATCTTCGGATGAAAAATGCCCCTTCGACATTGATCTTATTCAAGATACTATAAAACCTTTACCTGTCAAAAAAGCCTCATGTGTAGATCATTTACGTATTGAAATGTTAAAGCCTATCCAACACTTAATGACACTAGACCTTCTCATCCTGTTTCAAATGTGACGGGCCTGATTCTATGTCCCCCTGTCTTGGCGTATCGCACAAGTCGTTCCAATCCATAAGAAAGGGCCTCCATCAGATCCAGGAAGCTACCGTCCAATCAGCTTAACCACAATTTTTAGAAAAATCCAGGAACGTTGTATACAACTCACATTGACAAGCGAAGGACCACTACTGGGTATTGCACAAGGGGGATTTCGTGAATATCATAGTGCTTTGGACCAAGCTTTATACTTTTCTGAGATCTATCAGATACTACGTTCACAATTCCGCATTACTCCGGTCTTAGTCTTCCTGGATATAAAATCCGCGTATGATACAGTTAACCGCAGCTTCGTTTGGGAAACCCTCAGTCAATATATCTCGCCTCCTTTACTGAGCCTATTACGTAATCTTTCCGATGACATCCAAATCAAATTTTAATTTCTAATGCTACTTCTCGTCGATTTCGTCCAAAAACAGGCGTTTTGCAGGGCTCCATGCTCTCACCGTATCTTTACTCGATATACATCAACCAACTACTAGCTCAACTGTGCACTCAAGCTCTTCCATCTAGCTCATCACCGCTGGAAATGATATCGTCCTTGGATTGCCTACTCTAGCTGACGATGTAGCCCTCTTCGCCGAACGCTCAAATATGGTTGATCTACTGCGGCAATGCGATAATCATAGTATACAAATGGGATACAAATGGAATCCATCTAAATGCGTGACCTTGGACAGTAGCACAGATCCAATTACATATACCCTTTACGATCAGCCATTACCAAGAGAAACAACTTTCGCATACCTTGGCGTCCCCTTTAAACCGGGCAGGCACCTCGATCCAGAAGAATTAATTCAACGTAATACCCATAAGGCTCTTGCAACGATGAACATACTGCCATCTGTTGGTGTGAATCCTTCCGGTTTCTTCAAACTTCTTTGCACTAAGTTTTATGCTCACATCGTTCGACCTCAGCCTGAATACAGCCAAGCTATCAATCGCTTCACGGTCTCTCAACTTCACGCTCTAGAGGAAACTCAGAATGGTTGCATCAAGGAAATCTATGGTGCTCGAGGTAAAGCGTCCACTAAGGTTATACTCCACATGTCCAAGCTACCCCTTGTATCGGAACGAGTCAATATACTACAGGTACAGTTCCTCTTTCGTTCCTTATATTTGCCAGAAGATGCACTGCTTGCTTGTCTGTTACCTTATATCCGCAATACCAGAAGAAGCCAGTGGTACGCTCTCTCTCGTACAGCGCTTTGGAAAACGGTGCTGTCTAATACTGAAGAACCCGATACTCGCTCACTCAAGGCTGCTAAACGATGCTTTTTGCAACAGAATCTAGAGATCCGCCAACGATGCCGAAGCTCCAAATTGCTTCCCTAGCTGCTGTCGATCAATCTCTCTGGATCCTATACTCTGGTTACCCATGTCTAAGTCAGAGCGCAGTCGCTGTATACGCTGGAGATTAGGCTGGTTTCCTGGTGGCAAACCTCGACCATGTCCTAAGCATCCAACGCAACAGCTATCTAAAAATCACGTTATTAGTTGCCTTGATATACATCGATGTCTGCTCATGCCTGAAACAACACGAGATCCATTGTCATTCCTTCTGAATATGCTTCCTTTACACCCTTCGATTCCCCAAACCTAGCCCTCATCTGGTCTCAGCGATGACCGATTATATGCTTCCTATTACATGAATTAGATCAGCCACACCATAACAAATTGATCTCTACTAAGCACTCACATGGTCAAAAGCTTCTTGTATGGTTAAAGCAATTCATTTAACTTTTCATCGATAACCATACTCATTAATTTCCGTTTACATTTTTTACCCTTGTACCCATAAGGGGTTTTTTCGCTACCATTCACTTCCAAATGGATTGAACGGGTCCGAGCGAATGTTTATTTTATTTTATTATTTTTGCGCTCATTTGGACCATCAATAAAATATCATGTTTAAACAAAACTAATGGCACTAACCCAAAAATAATTGTCCCTTTATGTCTAGAAATCTTGTCCTTTTGAAATAAAAGAAACATCACAATAAGTCAAATCGAATTGACCTAAAAATGATATGTATTTTTGACTTCAAAATGATTAGAATGTAGTTTTATTATAATATTGAATGATTTGTCTTTTAGAATGACTGGCAAATTTGTATAGATTACACTTCGAGCTTTGTGATCTTGGTTGTTGTAATCATTCTTTTCTTTATTAGTTCGAATTCTACAATGTAAAATAAAATACAGTAATATAAAAGACTTTTTTTTTTTTATCCTTCATCTTCTTTTCGTTCGAATTTGTACGCACCTGGACAACCCGTCGTCAAATTATGAATACTGAGAACAATGGTTACGATCAAGCTGAACCTCCTGCATGGGCCATGGAATTCTTTAACTGCCTTTCCTCCCTGGAAGCTAAGTTCACGTCTTCCTCTTTCTTACAGGAAGATCCCAACGTGGTCGTTCGGTCTCCCGGGGCTGATTTCACTCCTTCTTCAGCTCTTTTGGAACACTGCCCCTTCATTGAG